GAAGACCTGCTCATAGGCGGCGCTGGCTCCCGGGTCCTGGCGCACCCGGGGGGCAACCTCCGTGCTCTGGAAGGCCCTCCAGGACTGGGCACCTGAACCCCTGCGCTGGGTGGTGGGCTTCCGTCACTCTGGAAGGACGGCCTTCGGAAGACTATGGCTTCCTGGGTCTGTAGGAAGGGTGGGAACCTACTTGGGGGCAGTGAAGAAGCCTCTTTGGGCTGGCTGTTGGGCACAGGCAGGCCTGGGGGCCATCTTCAGACACTCCTGGGAATAAGAAGACTGCCCCCTCGTGGATCTGGGGAGTCTTCAGACCAAGAAGTTGGGCTCTGTCTCCTCCCCGATAGAGCCATTGACAACAAAACAGGTGCCCGTTTCCTCCTGGAACCAGGGTCACCACTGTCCACGCACGAATCATATCAGTCACTGAATCTGGATGCCCAGGGTACCCACCACCCTCCTCCTGGGGTTTGGATCTCCTAGGCCCACCTTTTCTGGTGCCAGAGCTGCTACCTCTGGGGTGAACTGTGTAGGGTAGAACTGCCCTTGGGGGGAGGTGCTGCCCAGGTCAGGGCCTGGGAGCCCTGGCCTGTGCCCAAGATAGAAGTAGGAGACAGATTGAGGCCTAAGGCCACAGCTGCCCCCACCTCTCACCAGGGCTCCTCATACCTAGCTCCTTCCTCAGGCGCCCTAATATTTGTATGGGGCCAAGAAGGCAGGGCTTCCTCTGCCACCCTTCATTCTAGTCTCTTCTCCCAGCATGTACCTGGACTCTTGCTGGGCAGAGAGAGCTCTCCCTCCCTTTCCCACAGCTTTGAGCCTTCAGCTGTCAAGATTGAAAAGAAGCCACTGTGCCTCCAGGGCCTCCTGCACTGAAGAGAGGGGCTCTGTGCCTGGGAGGCTGCTCCAGGCCTCTCCTGCTGCCTGCACTCTCCATTCCCTTAAATGGGCACAGCCAGTGTGGCTGGCACAGCATGGGGCACGGGATGGGCACTGTGTGCCTCCACTCCGTCACCAGGGACAGCCTCAAGGGGGTGAGGAGAGGGGCCTTGCTCTGCAATTCCCAGGGCCAGGTCTTTCCCATCCAAGCAATAACAGGAGGAGGGGGCCAGGGCCAAGGACACTCAGGGACACTGTCAGGGGCAGTGGCCCCACATGTTAGTGTTTTCTTTAGGAAGAAAAAAAAAACTGGCTGTATACATAAATTATATTTCTTGGAGAAAGAATGTGCATTTCCCACATGCCTGTTTATTTATAAGCCCTGGGAGCACCAGGTCCCACTGCCCCCATCCACGTGCCCCAGCTGTGTGTCAGGCCGACCCTGGCAAAAAGTCGTGTCCTGCCTGTCTGGGGAACAAATGCTCAGAAATGTCTTGAGCCATTCAAGGCTGGTTTCCCGTCATCTTGGGGTGACTTACTTCCTTCTCGGCTCGGCTTGGCTCGCCCCCTCTTTCAGTTCAGCTCTTGGATTTTCTGAAGCTTAATTTCCAGTTTCCTGGTTCTTGGGTGTTTTCCCACCAGCAGGGCTGACCTTTCTGTATTCTCTCAGCCGTGTTCCCCCCTCCTGCTCTGAGACTACACGTCTCCATCGCATCCTCCATTTACCTCTTCCTCTGTCTCCTCCATAGTCTTTTTTTTTTTTTTTTTTGCTCAGTTTCGGCATTTCTCTCTCCCCTCATTGTTCAGGGGGAAAATATTTAAAGAAAGGAAGAAAATTAAAATCTCAAACCTAGAGGCCCATCTCCCATGAGATGATCCTGCAGGCCTCCATCACCATGGCAACAGGGGCTGATGTCATATGGGGCTAAAAGGTCAGGCCCTGCAGGGCTGGCACACTGAGCTGGGCCCTGGTTAAGGAGGAGTCTGGGCCTGGATCTGGAACAGTCAGCTTGCAAGCGAGAGTGACGGCCATGCCGGGACAGAGAGAGGTGGAGAGGTGGGCAAGATCGCAGGAAGAGGGTCTGGGGCTTGGCTGCAGACCCTGGGAACATTCTGGGGTACGGGAGGGTGGGGATCACTCAGGTGGGGTAGGAGCTGCAGCTGACCAGGGACTGTCCTCTTGACCTGTAACTTGTGTCACACAGGGGAAATTCCAGTCCTAGTTTTGCTATGACTAAGTGACCTGACTGAAGTCGTGGCCTGGCTGGGCCTCTGTTTCTCCATCAGTATACAAGGAGCTGGGTTTATTTAGAGACGAGGCTACAGAACAATACCCCAAACATCCTGGTGTCCATCTACCTTCTTTTCGTGGAGAATTAGCCAAGTTTCCTTCCTCTGTTTCCCTGTACTTCCTCCCTGCTGAGTCCCCACCCTCTAGGTCACAGCAAAGACCCTTCGATGTCCCAGGGGGTATCACAGGCACACAGAGCCCTCCCTTTTCGCGTGGCACCCTTCTCCATGGCTGTTTGCCGGCCACATGGGGGCTGCCCGGCTGTTTCTCCCCAGAGCCAGGAGAGTTGTCAGGGCCTGGTGTGCTGTTCACTTGCTCCCCACAACAGGAGCCAGTTCCTTCTGGAAAGTGAGTCTGGTTAAAGCAGGTGCTGATGCCTGGTTTGAGAAAACTATTGAGGGTCTCCATTTCCACAGAAAATGAGGGAGACCAGGGAATTGAGGGAGCCATTGCAGGGTGCATCTGGGCATCCCACCTCCCCCTGGTACGGAGAGAGCACTGTAGAAGGAGTCTAGCACCCCTCACCCCACAACTTCCTTTGACATCCACGTTGCTCTCTGGGAAGCAGAGAAAATAGAGAGGTGAAGGGCTAGCTGCGTCTGTGGTTCCCCACATTGTCCTGGGGCAGTCAGAGATGGTGGGGAGCAGGGCATGAAAGCCCCAAAGAGTTGCGTTTATGCAAGGGATGCAGGCGAGAGGCCAAGGGCATTTGGTGGTCAGAGCAGGAAGGAAGGCTGTGGGAACTGAGATGAGAAAAGAGCAGGGGAGGTGGCGGCCACAGGGCCAGAAGGGTAAGTGACTTGCCCATCAACAGATGTGTGGACTCCCAACCCAGTGCTCACTCCACACACTGCTCTGCCCTTGGTTGGCATCAGGTCTTTGAGTGGAATGGATGAGAATTCCAGGCCGTCGCCACCCTCCCCACCCCTGCCACTGTGCCCAAGCCTTCAGACAAGCAGGCCTCCTGGCCAGCAGAACAGTGCGGAGATGAGGGGCAGGGAGGATCGTTTCCCTGCTTCCCCCACCCCCAGGGGCTTGGGATAGGGAGACAAACAGGTACCTGGGAGCCAGGGGTCCTGCCTCTAATGCTACCAGCAGGCTTTTTCAACCATTTGTTCCAAAGCTTCCTCAAGACACCCGGGCACTGTTGTTCTGAAGACAGGACATTTATTAGCACACCCAGGCGTGCCACATAGAACAAGTGTTCAGACAGGGATCTCTGCCCAGGGGGCGCACAATCTAAACAAGACACAACACACACGCACATAGGCACATACATGCACGCACACATATGCGGGGACAGAGACGTGGGGAGTGCAGTGTCTTCACGAGAAACGTGTTCAGGGGAGCCACGGGTCGCGGTCCTTCTGGCTGCCTTTGTGGGGGAGGGGGAGGAGAGTAGGACACGGCCTTCCAGGGAGCACTGTGGACTAGGAGGGTCTTGCAGGAGAAAGACAACACTAGAGAGCAGCGGTTCCAGGCACAGGGAGGGGTGGGCGGGAGGCTCAGAGCAGGCGGATGAAGACAGATCGGATGAAGTGAAAGGGGTACTTGCACATGTAACCAAAGAAGTGGAAGGACGGACAGACAGTCCAGGGAAGAGGCCCTGAGCCACCGTTGGGGCTGAGCCGACTCCCACGGGGCTGTTCTCTGAGAGCCCCAGTAGAAGCTCCTTCTCCAAGGAAGTGCCCCTGAGGCTACTTACCTGACCCCAGGGCTCCCTCCAATCTCTGAAACAGAGATCTGAAGCCAAAGGAAAAAACTTTTTTTTTTTTTTTCTTTCTTTGTGGTGCTGGAGGTGGAGCCCAGGGCCTCCTGTGCTAGGCAATCTCTCTACACCCGAGCTACATCCCAGCCCACAACCAGCTTGGAAAAGGAACATTAAAACCAGGTTGTAGGAAATGGAGGGGGCAGAAAGGGAGAAGGTGGGCAGCTTTGGTGGAGGAACTTCAGGGCAGCTCAGGAAGGCCGCTGCCAGCCCCAGGAGCTGGGGAGCAGGAAGTGTGTGGCCCCCTTTAATCCAGAGTCGGGCAGGGGCCAGCAGGTGGACACGTGACCAGAGGTGCCAGCATTCCTTTTGTCCTATGTCTGAAACAGATGCAATGCCTCCCTTCTGAAGTCCCCTGAGAACTAGCAGGCCTGCTGCCCCTGGGCGGTGTAGGGAGGCTGGGATTATTGCTTCTGAACTCCCAGAGCAAAGGGAGGAAATGGTTGCGCAGGGCCACGCAGGCTGGCGTGAGACAGGACCGCCCTTCCCAGGCTCCTCGGCTGGGGCTTGCCGTGGGCTCTCTCGAGTCGGAGAGATTTTTCTAATCCTAAATAATTAAACTAGAGAAAATGGTAGAGAGAGGCCACAGGTCTAGCCAACAGACCCAGAGCTCTCCCGTCCTTTAACCCTGCAGGAATCAGGAAGGGGACACTGGACCGGAATCCACCGCAGCTTCTTAGGTGGTAGTGGAAGGTGAAGGGTCCCGCTTTGGTTTTCTGACCTACTTGGAGGATAGCAAGCCTCCCTTGGGTACTGAGGGAGGGGATGTCCAGTGGGGTGGGTAATCAAGGGGCACCCCTGAGGCCTATAGGAGACTCCTCTCCCAATAAGTCTCCCTCCTGATATGGGAGATGGAGCTGCCTTTGCTTCTGAGGCAGCTGGTGGGGTCATAGTCTGGATCTGAAGATGAGCGGGCAGCTCAGGAAGGGCCAGGTCACCAGTGAAGTCCCAGAGGTGACAAGCTGAGGAGGAGAGACTCAGCCCCAGGCTCCCCATTCCCTCACCCAGCTGCTTCTCCCTGGGGAGGGAACAGGCTGGGACCCACAGAGGAAAGAGCCAAGGCCCTGCTTTTTCACGATCCTTTATTAATCAGAACAGGCCTTGCCACAAAAAGCAGGGCCGGTTCCCACAAAAATATGATTTTGCAAAGAGGAAATCTTGCTGGCTTAGAGGGTGCGTGTGGTGGAAAAATTTTGTATGTTTTTTTTTCTTCTCCAGTTTTTTCTTCATTTCTCTTTGCTGCAAATTTTTTTTTTTTTTTTTTTGTGGAAGTGGGTTTTTGTTTTATTTTTTTATAAAACACTTGCGCTCAAGGACTCAAACACAATACAAACAGCGGCCACCCATCTCCACCCCCTGGGGCCCCAGCTGGGCTGGGCATCCCCCCTTGGCTTTTTTGTGGCTGTATTCCTTGGTCCCTGGCCTGGCCTCTGGTGCCTGAAGGCAGGTGTGGGGGTCCCGGGGCAGGTAGAATTTGTACAGCAGTTACAGTGGGAGAGATGGTCACAAGAAAGGAACAAGGTAACAACTACGTCTAGGGTGCCCACAAAGGTGGTATAGATGACACTGAGGGGCGCTGGAACACAGTGAAGAGACAGTCGGCCCTGGAGGCCTCGCTGTCCCTGGAGGCTCTGTGGGGGAAGGGCAGGTGGGCCTTGCTCTCAGCCTGCGGTAATAATACTTTGCTCCGGGGTAGCACCTTCAGAGTCCTCCTGCTTCGACCCCCAGATCAGGTGACGGCCTCACAACCTCCCCATGAGGTAGGTGAAGTATTATTACCATCATTTTACAGATAGGGAAACTGAGGCCCAGGGAGTGTGGGTGACTTGCCCAGGATCCTGGGACGGCGGCAGGGCTCTGGTGCCCTCCCCCGCCCTCAAGTTCCCCCATTCCTTGCTCTCTGATCGCCCTAGACTGTCCTGTCTCCACCCCAGATCACCTGCGGCCTCTCGTGCCAGCCCACCTGGCCCTCAGACCACCATTTGCAGACCCTCGCCGGCTTCCGGGAGCGAGCCCCAGCGGGCCCCGGGGGTGGCGGTGGCGGTGGGGTGTTGGGGAACCCAGGCGGGGGCATCTGCGTGCCGCCTGGGGTCCAACTGAGAGCGGACTCCTCCGGGGCAGCTCTCTGCATGTGATTGGCTAAGAGTTCCGTGGGCGGGGCTCGGGCAGGGGATGCCGTGGCTTCACCGTCTCGGTGTGAACCCGGGGCCCTGGGTGGGGCTCGCTGCCTCGCCACTGGCCACTTGGGGGTGGTGCGTTGGAAACCCGGCGGATCCGAGGGAGGGGCGGAGATTTGCTAGGTCCCTCGGCCTCCTACTTCTGCCTTCCTACTTCCACACAGCCTCCAGGGACCCTGCTGGGGACTGCTCCCCAAAACCGACCTGTTGGGGCAGACCCCATTTAAAGCAAAGCTAGACTAGAGGAACATTTGGATTTACAAGGAATGTGGGCGACTATTTGCTTTACATTATTAGCATTCTTCACTCTATAAAACGGTTCACCTACTAAGTATGATAGTCCTCTGGATCCCAGGGGCAGGGACGGGGTGGTGGTGGTGGTGGGGGGCACATTTTGACATGGGCAAAAGGTGGCCTGACTATGGCGTAGAAGGAACGCTCAAGGGGAAGCCCGCGGAAGGAAAGTGGCTTCCGAACGTCTACGCTTTCACTGTGCTCTAGATGTGGGGACCCTGTGGGAACTCTCCCTGGGGTGCCAGGCGCATCCTGGGTAGAACTGTCGTGCAAGACCGTGACCACAGACGTGGTGTTCTGGCGCCACCTGGCGGTGTGTCCTGCGAATGTCCGGCCCAGGCACGTGGAACCCCAGGATTTGAAACTGTCACCAGCTGGGTCTTGTATCAATACAGGGCCAGCGAAGGGATGAGAGGGCTTAAGCAGGGATCATTGTGAAATCTGCTGTCTCCAAGGAGAAGCCGGGTCTAGTCTCAGCCATAGCTGGGGAGGAGAAACCACAGCTTCTTTGTGTGGGGAAGCCTCAGAATTCTGGACCGGTCCCTGCTTATTTGCCTGCGGCGGTGGGAGGGCCAGAAGGAGCTCTTCTGGAGGCCCAGGGAGGGGTGGGGAAGGTGAGGAGACAGGTGATGGAAGATCAGAAACGACTCAGAGGACGGGGAAGGAAAGGGAAGGTGTCCGCGCACCAGGGGGGTTGAGGGTCGGGGAGTGAGGAGGGGGCCGGGTCTGCACAGGCAGGGAGGGAGGAGGAAGGGCGGGGAAGCTGAGAGCGTGGAGCGAGGTTCCAATTTGGCTGGAATCCGAGACCTGGAAGGAGGGGGGAGTCTGGGTAAAGGTGCTGGGGAAGAGCTAGTGGGGGATTGGGACCCCTGAGCAAGAGGGGAGCAGGTGCATCCTGGCGAAATGCTGTGCACACAAGAGGTGCCTAAAAGTTGTGAAAGGATGTCCAAGAGATGAAGTCACTGGAGGATTCTGAGCAGAGGAGGTCCCTGAGGGGACAGGGTGAGGAGAGGGGGATGGCAAACAGGCAGCTGCCCGTCTGCCCCTCTCCCCTCCTCCACTGGCCCTGACCCCCAGCCCAGACCTCTCCGGACCTCCAGCCCCAGCCTGCCTTCACGAAAGCTTGCTTTCCCACAGTCTTAGCACTGCTGGCCCCAGGGGGACAGGGAGCAAGCGCCCCCACCTTTCTCTCTCTCTCACACACACAGACACACACACACAGTGGACACAACACAAGTACACAGGGCCCGGGCTCCAGGACCCAGGAGCGGGCTACACACTACCCTTGGCATTCAGGGCCCAGGCGGCACCTGAGACTGCCCTGGGGCTGGGCCTGTCTTGGCTGAGCCAGGGCCAAACGCCCCGGCTCCAGTCTCTCGGGCCCGCAACCGCGGCTGTAGGAGGGGCGGCTTCTCTCCACTCCAGGCACTGCCTTAAAGAAAACGGGGGGCCATGCCCACCTGGCGGGCCTCTGGAGGGATCTGCCCGTCTGCCCGGCTGGCTTTCGAGCTCTCCCCCACTTCTTTAGTATCAGCGAGTCAGGAGGGAAAGGGGCAAAGCAGGAAAATGGCTCCCAGAGCTCCACCCTGAGCTGGACCGGTGCAGGGTGGGGCTGGTGCTTCCTAGAGTGGGGCCCCATTGAGTCCCGGGACCCCTCCCTGGCTGAGCCCTCAGAGTCCTCCCCTCACCCGTGGCGGCACAGGGGCAGGCCAGGCATTGTGCATAAAGTGGGTGAGGGCATGATGGGGACCTGGGCCTTTGCCCCCTGGGCCTCCCGTGGCCCCTCTCAGGCCTTGAGCTGGTGCCACTGGGCCACAGGCTGCCGGGGACGGGCAATCATGTCCTTCCAGTGCTTCACCTCCCCTGGCCCACTCTTCCAGGACAGGTAGATCTGGGGAGAAAGGGAGGAAGATGCATTAGGCCCGTCTCAGGCTCTAACTCCTGCCCCCACCAGCGGGGACACCCCAGGCCATAGTGCCAACCAACCCCACAGAAGATGTCCTTGGTGGGGCTCCACCTCAGGTGCCCGGGCCTGCCTGGCCCTTTGAAATCAGCCTGTGGCCTATTTTGCAGGGGAGGGGGCGAAGGCGGCAGTGGAGGCCGTCTGTGTCCATGGCCTTCCCTGGCCTCCTGTGGGACACTGCCTAGCTCACCAGGACTGCAGGCGCTCCCACCTCCTGGGGACCTACACGCCAGGCACTGAGCTCGGGCTCTGTATCCCTAGAGCACCGCATCCTTATAGCTGGGAGCAAGGCACAATGACATTCCCAGCCTCACAGTCACAGGGTTTAAAGTGGTGCAGAGGGGTTTCAATGCAGGTCTTGGGGCCTAGACTCCCAGCCCCATCCTGCCCAGCCGCTGTGTTAGGGCCTTCACATCTTGTGGGGCTGTGTGTGGGGATCCCCAGAACCCCCCAGGGCAGACCCAGCTGACCACAGCCTGGAGAGTGCACATTCAGAGTGCGGGGGAAAAGGAGTGGGTGCTATAGGACACCTGGTCAGCACCCCTCAAGGGTGTCAAGATCCCAGACAAGAAAGGAAGACTGAGAAACTCTCAGAGGAGACCAGGGACATGACAACTCAGTGCCATGTGACACCCCGAACTAGATCCCAGAACAGAGAGAGGATATTGATGGAAAAACTGGTAAAACACAAAGTCTGAATTCTAGTTCCTCGTAAGATCCTCAGGCTGTGAGGAGTGTAGTATCTTTATGTGACAGACTGACAATGGGGAGTAGGGGCGAGGGGGACATGGGAACTATCAGTACCACCTCTGCTACTTTTCTAAAAGTCTAAAACTATTCAAATAAAAAGTATTTTAAGTGTTGGGGGTGGGGGAAGAGCAGGGCATGGTGAGGTATGCCTGTAAAGCCAGCGACTTGGGAGGCTGAGGCAGGAGGATCAAAAGTTTGAGGCCAACTTGGGCAACTCAGCCCTCCCTGAGTGTTGATGGCGGCTGCCTTGTACAGAGTTTGCGATGGTGAGTGTCGTGGCTCTGTGGGCATGTGGTGCACAGTAAACCCTCTCAGTGGTGGGTTCTGTGTCTGTAGCCGGCTGGCTGTTCACTCCCAGAGGGTCACAGAGCTTGGGGGCCACACAGGGAAAGGCCCTCATTTGCCACCTCCGTCCGGCATGGTGCCCACAGCCTTGAGCTCTGCTGTACCGATAAGAGGGCAGCTTCCTGGCTTCTGAGGGCTGAGCAGGGGCTGGAACTCGGAGGGTTGCCTAAACTCCCCAGGCCAGAGCCAGAACAGATCCGGGGCTGGGGACACAGCTCAGCTGGTAGAGGGCTTGCCTGGCATGCACCAGACCCTGGGGTCAGTCCCCAGCACCACCACATACACACAAAAGAACAGCTCTGCCTCTGCCTGGGTTCAGTAACAGAAAGAAGGCCCGTTGCAAAAGGACCTGCCATTGGTATCTCAGGAACACCCAGTTCCCAAAGGTGAAGCTTCAGAAGATCCTAGAAACAGATATAGGTTACACGTCCCTTGGCCTGGGCTGGGCCTGGGAGGCTGTTGGAATACGGGTGGCACTGTCCTGTGACAAGTTGGCTGGTCACGCTCCCTGGGCCAGACCTGTGGCAGGCAGGTCCAGCTCGCCTCTGTGAGGCCAGACGCCTCCCTGGCCTCCAGGAGCACATCTGTGCTCTCCATCCCTAGCTGAGGGTGGCCCCCAGCTCAGCCCCCTTCCCTGCCCCTTCTGAGCTGACTTCTGGGCCCACCCTGTCAACCCCGAGCCACATACACACACAAGGACATCCTTCCGTGTTTCCCCCAACAAGGCCATGGCCCCGACCATCTGTTTCACCCTCGCTCACGCTTCCTGTCCTTGTCACTGGCTCCCCCCCGTCAGCTCCTGGACAAAACGCACAAGGCCTGAGTAGGGGGTGCCTCTTCAAAGACGACTTTTACCCTGGCAGCAGCTACAGGCATGCTCCAAGTACTGTGCTAAGCCCTGGCCTGGGCATCTCACTCAGTTCCCCCGTGCACTGTGTGGTTAGGAGAATTAAACGAGAGGAGAAAACGCGGCTCAGAGAGGTGCCGCCTGCTCGCGGTGGAGCTGGAGGGCTGGGGGTAGGTCTGCCTGCACCAGGCCCTGGGTTTGATCCCCAGCAAAACCCGAACAAGTGGTGGGGCCGGGCACTGGGCTCAGGCAGGCTGGCTTCTGAGCCCACCCTGTCCACACTGAGCCACATATAAACACAAGGACAGACATTTCAAAGTAGAAAAGTGGACGGGTTTATGCCACAGAATCACCTCCTAGAAAAACTCAAGGCCAGGAATGAATGTGTGGATTAGCAGGCGGGAGGAGAAGGTCACCTTCAATAGGGAGGACCTGTACCTATCTTGGGCAATTCTTCTCTCACCCTGGAAAGTCCTGTAGCCCCATCTTATAGATAAGAACCCTGAAGCTCAGAGAGGGCAAGTGGTTTGCCCAAGGTCACCCAGCTGTGAGTGGGCAGATCAGGTGGGACCTGAGGTTAGGTCTTTGGAGTCTGAGGGTAGCTCTCGAAACTGCCCAAAACACAGCTTGTCCTCTGAAGATGGCCCCTCAGAGCAGTCGGGGGCCTGAGGAGCCTCGTTTCCCTGCCACTCCCTTCTTTCCCCCCCTCCCAGGGGTCTGACTGAGCTGAGCGAGCCCCAGGAAGATGCCTCATTTTTCCCTGAGGTGGGAAGGACTGACCCACCCTGGTGTCCAGCCTGCTGGGGGCCTACCTTGCCTATGACGTCGTTGCGGCTGAGCTTGTCCTTGTCCATGACGGTGATGACGATGGTCGTCTCCCTCAGCTTCTCCGTGGGGATGTCGAAGGCGAAGGACTCGTTGAAGATGGGGTTCAGGTTCCTCTTCATCGTCACCGTCTTCTTCTTCTCCACCCGCTTGTCTTTGTACATCAGCCACACCTTCACGTAGGGGTCTGGGGAAGGGACGGGAGGGTTAGGGGGACAGGGTGCGGGGACCCCTAGGACCCTCTCCTCCTGCCGTGTGTGGAAGCCAAGGCGGGCGGGGGGCGGCTGTGTGCTTCCCCCTCAGGGCCAGGCCAGGCCCACGACAGGATCCGGGGGAATCAGCAGACCATCGGGAGAGTCAGAGGGGACCTTGGCTGTCAGCCACCCAGAGCCACCTGCTGACATCCATGAGGAAACCCAGCCCCAGAGGGGCCAGGTGCAGCCCGAGCTCAGAGACGAGCAGCATCAGGATTTGAACCCAGGCCTCCCCAATAGAACAAGAGTCCTGTTCTTCCCAGATCCATAAAGGACAGGGTCCGAGGTGTTGCTGTCCCTGAGGATCATCCAAAGGGGGTAGAGGAGCTGGGACCGGAATGGAGGTGTGGGGGTCAGGGAGGGGGGCCGGCGGTGTCCCGAGTCAGAGCCTCCCCTGGCCCGCCCGCCTCCTGCCTCCAGGAGCCCCGGCACCTGATGTGCCCCCGATGTCCATGGCTTTGAGGTTCCGGGCTTTGATGATGTTCACGATGATGGAGTTGGCAGAGGGGTTGTAGCAGAGAGACAGGAGCAGCTCCCCTCGGCTCCCCTGGGAGGACAGGTGAGGGGTGAGGCTGGGCCAGGGGGAGGGAGGGGCACGGGCCTCCCCTCCCCCGGCCTCAGGGCCCCTCTGGCCTGACCTGGCACCCACCCCTCTGTCTGCCATTGTTGTCACACCACGTCCCCTCCTCTGGCAGGTCTCTACACGCCTGCCCCCAGGCTCCCCACGTCCTGAACAGAGCCCCAGTTCTTCCCCACAGCTCAGCGAGTCACCGAGGGCTGAGGGACAGTGCTCGGACCATGATGGGACGGCAGCTCCTTGGGGACCGCCCGCCTGCACCCCTCTCCACGCCCGGCTGGCGGACTAGGGTGGACCTGCCAGCCCTGACCAGGCAGCCCCCTCCAGCCAGAGGCCCACGGGGGAGGCCTTACACTCCCATCGCTGCATGGCTTCAGATCCTTCCAGAAGGTCTGCATCTGGGTCAGGTCCACCTTGTTGAGGGGGATGGACACCTCCCCGATGGGGTCGTTACGGCTGAAACGGTCGTAGTCCAGGACTTGGAGGTAGAGGACCCTCTGTACCACCTTCTCGTAGGGAAAACCTGAGGGACAGACGTGAGGTGAAGGGGGGACAGGAGGCCATACAGGCAGGGCCCAGGAAGGGAGGCAGGAAGGAAGGCTCCAGGGAGGGGAGACTTGTGTCCTCCTGCTGCCACGACACAGAGGACAGCAGGCAACACCTGGGCGCAGTCAGGGCTTTCCGAAGTGCTAGTAAGAGCTGCCACCGGCCATGTGAACCCCTCAATGGTTCCTCTTTGTTGGAGTGTCTTGCCCATTTTACAGACGAGGAAACTGAGGCTCCGATGGCTTGAATTACCTGTCCAAAGTCCCGTGGCTTACAAACAGCAGGAGTGGGGCATCCATTCAGTTACCATGTGTCCGTCCCAGTGATGGGCGTCTCTGAGCTACCACTGCCATCATCCTGAGGCAAGTCTGGGCAAGTGGCTCTGTCTGAGGCAGACCAGGCTGCCAGCAAGTCCCCTGGGGGACCGAGGTTGGGGGTGGAGAAGCAGGAATGGACTGGTGCCCCGGGACACTCCTTCCCCTTCCAAGGTGGCCTGTCCTTCCGTTCTTCCTGAGCAGATCCTGCAGCCCTTCAATCCTGCAGCCCTCCCTTCCTCCGCGCCACCTCCCCTGTCCAGCCACCTCTTGCCTAGACAGCCGCAAGAGTCTCCAGATCGCTCCCCCCACGTCCACGCTTCCTCCGGGTCCATTCTCAACGCAGTGGCCGGAGTGATCTTTTAAAAATAGCAGCACATCACAGCACTCTCCTGCTCGGAGCCTTTCAATGGTTGCCGGTGCACTTAGAATAAAAGCTGGGCACCCTACCTTGGCTTCGAGTCCTGCCACAACTTGGCAGCTCCTGCTCGTCTCCTGACCACTCAACAATGATAGGCTGCAGCCTCCTTCCTGCTCCTCTTCCTGCCTGGCCCCCACCGCACCCGCTGGCTTACTCCCATCCTTCAGGCCTTAGCTCTGTCCTGACTTCGCGGCTGGGTGGGACGCCCCAGTGCGCTCTCCTTTCCGCCAGCTGTGAGAGGTTTAGTCTTCTGACTCGCGCTTTCGCTAGGCTGGGATTCCCAGAAAGGCATCCCTGTGATCGCCCACCAGACCCTGGCATCTAACACCATTTCTGGCACATAGTAGGCACTTGTTAAGAGGATAAATAATTGAGCAGATGAATAAGTGCCAGGGGAATAAATGGTCTGCCGGAGCAGCAGGAAGGTGCTGGGGTACACAGAGGAGCTGAGGTGCAGGAGGTGGGCGGGAGGGGAAGGGCAGGAGGAGCCACAGGAAGACGGGAGCCAGGAGTCCCCCCGGGAGGCTTAGAGGTGGCGCTGGCCTTGTGGGTGGAAGGGCACAGGCCACCCTGGACGCCTGGGGGGCTGAGATCCTGAATGAGGGGTGAGCAGGAAGGATAAGGAGCCAGAGGACAAGGCTCAGAGTCTTTACTCTTGTCCTAGGTTGGGGAGGGGGAAGGAAGGGGTCAGTCCCCAGCCTGACTGGTGGAGAAGCTGCAGGGAAGAGCTCTGGAGGGTTCCAGCACCTTCTCCCAGAAACAGCAGAGGCACAAAGAGGGGCAGGGACAGGAAATCCTCTGAAATCATACAGGGTGCCTGTCCTCCTGTTAAGGGGGACTGGGTCTTGCTCATCTTGGAGGGCCTAAGGGATCTTGCCCAGGTGACCCTCGGCATCTATTCAGGTGAATGCATGTGGACAAGTGTTCTGGGGATGCTGGCAGCGCCTGAGTCCGCTCTCTTCAACACCAGAGGAGGCGGGCTCTTCTCGGGCACACTCCTGCTCATTCTCCAGGACCCACCTTGAACGGCCCCTCTTTGGGGAAATCGGCACCACCAAGGGAAGCCCGTCCCGGGTTCCTGCAGCGGCTGACGTGCTGGGTGTGGCCAAGGCTCAGCCCCTCTGTGTCCTCCATTAGAGCAGTAACGTCTCGAGGGCCACAACAGGCCTCATCCTTTTCTGAGCTCCCAGTTCCCAGTTCATGATTGACGCTGGGTGCGTTTGTGGAAGGGATATGGGGGGGGCATGGCTCTGTCCATCATCCTCGCCCTATCAGCTGGCCACATATCCCTCCAGATGGCCAAACCTCTGGCTAGTTGTACCATCTCAACTGGACCCTGTGCTGAACAGGGAGGAGGGGACCTGCCAACACCTGAGCTCACCCTCCCTGACTTCGTGGGTGCACTGAGAGCCATCTTGCAGATCTGGAGGGGGCCAAAAGTCCTGGTCACCCATTGGGGAAGAGTCCCTGCAGGTTCTGGAAATCAGGGGACCGGACAGTGGGAGCCATAGGGGTTTATTCTCACGGGTTGAACCAGGCTCCTGGGAGAATTATGGCCTCTCTAAGGGGGGTCCCTGGGGTAGAAACTGCTCCTGAGCACGCAGCCGGCCTGGTGGCATTGATGCCACCAGGTTTCAGGAGAGAGGAAGGACTTTTGCCTCAGTGGCCTCCTGGAGCCAGAGGACAAGGCTCAGAGCCTTTACTCTTGTCCTAGGTTGGGAACGGGGAAGGAAGGGGTCAGAGACCAGCAACAGAATGTGTTTAACAAACGGCCGTCAGCATTTTCTGGGAGCAGGGCCCCGTTCTGAGTAATTTGTTTAATACTCGCCCTTATTATCTCTTTTACAAATGAGGAGACCAGGTACAGAGTGTTTAGGAAATTACCCAGGGCACACAGCTAGTAAGTGGAAGAGCTGGGATCCAAACCCAGACAGTCCAGGCCAGGCCTGTGCTCTTAACGACTGCACTCTGGGTGCCCCGGGACACGCCATCTCTGAATGCCGTGGGTGCCTCCTGCCTGTCCAGCCCTCCCCAGGATGAGGCCCTCCTGGGCCTCTGGGTGTGAAGCTGTCTCCTTCTGGCTCCTGAGACCTGATCCAGCTACACACAAAATGCATCGGGTAGACTGGGCCGAGACAGGTGCCTCTAGGGCGTGTGTGAGCACTTACATGCACACACGTATCTGTCCATGTGCACACACGTGTGCACACACGTAGACCGGCTTGCCCGTGCTCGTGCACCTGTGTGCCCCCAAGTGTGCGTATGCGCCTGTGCCCGTGGCCACGTGGGCGGTGGGGTGGGGGGGAGGGGGCGGTGGGGAGCGGGCGCCGGTCTCACCTTCAAAGAGGAAGGTCTCGTTCCAGTGGGGGTTCAGGTTCTTCCGCTTCACCTTGGTCTCCAGCTTGTGCTTCTTGTCCGGCAGCAGGTAGATCTTGACGAAGGGGTCGCTGGTGCCGCTGAAGTCCTTGGCCGGCAGCTCCTGGGCCTTCATGATCTTCACGGTGAGCGTGGACTCCTGGAAGTTGTAGCCGACGCTGAACTGGATCCTGCCCAGGTTCTCTCGGCTGCAGCCCTCATGGGCCTCGTCCTCCTCCGAGCCTGGGGACAGCTGGGGGCGGGCGAGAGGCAGCAGGTCGGGAAGGGCTCTGCTCCCCGGGGCCACCTGCCACCCAGCCTGGCTGAAAGGCCTTGCTGTGCTGGAGGTGGGTCCCGCTGCCACCAGCTGCTCTTCCCTGCTGGCCACACCTGGGGCTGGCTGGAGGTGGTGGCCCAGCCTGGATTCATGGCCGGAGGAGGGGGTTCAGGCCAGCGAGCAAGTACCTGGACCCAGGTCTCTTAAGGAGAGAGGGAGGCAGATCCAGGAACGGCCCCCTCTTCTGAGCCCCGGATCTGTGTGTAGAGACCCCCTCTCCCACCTCCTGTCACAGTCCTGGGTCAACCCACTCCAAGTGCTGGCCACCACCGCTGCCCTCATCTCCCCAGGTCGGGAGGCCTCTGCCTTGGGGCGTGCGGGTCCCTGGGTCCCCTCCACTCTCCCTCCTTCCCTGGCCCTGTGGGCCCTGTGGACATGCTGACCCAAGTCTGGGCTGAAAACAGCTTCAGGAGCTTAGCCCGGCGTTTCTGATGAAGGCGACTCTCTGGGGTGCTGGGGTGATGCAATTTACTAAATCAGAAAGGCAAGCGTTCCACGGGCGATGTCTATTTGTGTGAGGCAGCGTCACCAGGGAAATGAAGAATACAGATCTGCCCCTCCCTGTCCCCAGGGAGTCTGATTGGATCAGGCTGGGTGGGCCCTGGCATCGATACTGTCTCCAGAGTCCTCAGGTGGCCGCACTGCGTGCCGGGCTCAGGACCACTGGAGGGGGCTGCACCTGCCCCGGTGCCCACTCTCAGGGCGGGCGCTTGGCGGCCAGGGACTCAATAGGAAGTCCTGGGGAGGGTGATTCCCACCCGACGTGGGAAAGTGGGCAGAGCTGGGGGAGGTCTCCCTGTCCAGCGTCTGAAGTGTGGCTACACAGAGGGGGCATCTGGGCAGGCCTGAAACCCTGCCACTTCCAGCTGCTGGGGTCTAGACCCATCAGGTCCACTGGCCCCCTCCCTGCCTCTGCTGATTAGATGGGAGCCAGGAATTGGACCCGGGGTGCCACTGTTCAGACAAAGCTGCAGGTGGCTATCTATTCTCCAGCACGGAAACCTCCACATCCCCTCCTGCCTCCTAGAGTGGCGGCCACGGGCTCTGAAGTGCTCCATGATACAGGAAATAGTAATGCAGATAGGGTGCACCTACCATGGCAGACGACTCTTACGTCACCTTCTTACTGCCGGGCCAGGCAGTTGTCACCGCTCTCTAGCTGAGGAGACTGGCTCAGAGAGGTTAAGTCACATGTCCAAGATGGCACAGCAGTATGAGCCCTCTCTGACTTGAAGGCCTGCTCCTTCCACCAGAGCAGGCCCACACCCTAGGGGGATAGGAGACTCCCCCCAGCCAGCAAAGCCTTCCCTGTGCCAGGTGAGAAGCTATGGATCAGCTGCCTGCCACCCCTGCCCTGTGCCAGGTGTCCCACCCTCACTCCTTACTCCCAACGAGGCAGGCACAACTGTGTTCCAGTTAGGGTTTGGGGCACAGAGAGGTTGGGTAACTTGTCTCAAGCCACCTTGCCCGAATGGTGAAGCGGAACCTGCACTCAGGTGGCACCCAGGCTTTCTGAGCACTGGCACAGGTGGGCAGGGGTGCCAAGCAGCCTTTGCTGGTCTTCCTCACAGTGGAAGCCTGGACCCTTGGTTGACCAGACAGCCCTGGAGCTCAGCCCAGGCCCTCTGAGGACACGGCCACCCGACCAGGGTCGGCTCATGGGGTCCTCTTCACCTGGGACCTCCGCTTCTGCATCTGCAGAACGGGTGCCACGGGACAGAGCTGGTGAGGTTCCTGGGAGGTTTAGATGGGTCCCTGTTCCTTCCACAGTCCTCCTCTGTAGCCTGGTCCCCTGGCCCAGGCACCGAGAGCCTGGGGCATCTCATGGGTAGGTAGGGCCAGCAGGACCACTCACCTTCCCCTTCCCTTCTAAGGTTGGGGTGCAGTCGTGGGTGACTAGAGCCCCAGCTGAGGTCCTTTGGCCACTTGGCTCTTTGCTCCCCACGAGGGTGGTCTAGAGGAGTCCTAGGTGGCTTTCACATCAGAAAGTGCCCACTCCCAGCTTCCTACGCCACAGCCCTGAGCCCTGAAGAGCTATCTTCCTGGCACCCAGCTGGCCACCCCACCCAGCCCCTGGGAGGTGCTGCCTGAGCCCCTTCCCCAGGAGTTAACCCCCCAGGTCACCCAGCCAGGCCCTGTGCCAGGGCCTGGGCACCTCAGATGTCAGGGTGGTCTTGACACCCTCCCCTTCCCCTCTGCTGGTCGGCTCTGGGGGCCTGACTCCTGTCTCCTGACTCCCAGCCTCTGCAGGTTGAAGTCACAGGGACTTACTCTCCTGCTTATCTTTACAGTCACTGTTAATGCCGATGACCTGGCGCTGGCATACGACTGGGCAATTAGACTCTGCCCTCCCACCTCTGGGCATCTGCTGAGCACAAGAGGGAGATGGGCCTGCACTTCCTTCCGCTGCCACGCCTGTGGGCCCCTCCCTGAGGGCAGCAAGGGGCAGGCAAGCTGGCTGGGAAAGGGCTGTCCCTTTTGGGAACCTGACTACTGGAAAATGTAACCAATTACTGGGTGGTGGTAGAGGCAGGTGGGCTGTGGCAAGGGGTGTCCAAAGCAGAGGATGAATAGGGCTGTCTGAACAGGTAGGGGAGACGGGAGGGAGATGGTGCAGGGCCAGGCCTGTGGGAGTCTGTGGCTGGCGAGAGATGGGGGTCCAGGGGTCCAGAAGCCACCGGATCTGGGATGGGAAAGTTCTGATGCCCTAGCCTGGGTCCAACAGAAACGTGGACCCTCCAGCCTCTAGAGCTGGAAGTCGGCCTCTTACCAAGGTGGCTTGCGGTCTGTGTGCACATGGGAACTTGGGAAATGCCAGGCTAGCAAGGGGCAGCGGGGGTGGCTGGTTAGAGCTGGCTGCAACCCTAAATGGCAGAAGAGGGTTTTGTGGGGTTTTGTGGAGGTTTTGTGGGGCTCAGGAAGGGTGGCAGGTGGGAGAACTCTGAATTGATGTCAGGACTGGGAAAGGCCAGAGGGTCCCCAAGGCCACTTCCCTGTCTCTATAGGAGGGAGGGTTTCCAAGGCAAGGACTTGCCCCAGGTTGTGTGCAGTAGGAACGGATCCCACCCTTAGGCCCTCCTAGATCCTTCTTGGGACTTCTGAGCTGCCAGAAGTCTGGAAACCCCTCTGGCCTAGTTCAGGGACTCTTTGGAAAGTACAGGAAGGACAAGTGGCCTCATGGCGGCCACCAGGGGGCGCCATATGAACCACACCCTTGGCCTTGGTGAAGCACTCTGGGGTCTGAATCCTGCAAGCTGTGGAGAGGAGCACCCCAGCACAGCTGTCCCCTCAGAAGAGTCAGGACCTGTGGCTCTGCTCTCCTCTTCTCTGAGCCGCCCAGCAATGGGAAGTGGGGAGGGTGCTGGTGTGGGGGTGAGGTGGCCTCAGCTGGGAGTTCCACCCCAGGGATCCCGCTCCAAGTCATCCTACTGCCCCAAGTCTACTCCCCGGCTTTTTATCTGTCAGCCTTTCTCTCTCTCTCACGAGGTCCCTTCTCCATCTGGAAGGGGATCAAAGCAGGAGAGGCATCCTTACTTTCACCC